AGTTGTGAAATATGCCACCACAAATGCAATTAAGCTTCCCATTGCATTTCCCTCTCTGATCTGTGGCATAATCTTGAACTAATACCCTGGAATTCTCACTACCAATGATGTGGCATGCAAAAGAGATTCAGTTTTGTCTCTTCAATATAAGTTATCTGCTGGAAGACATGTCCTAGACATTGTCTTAACATCATCTGAGAAGGCATCCGATTTAAGGGTTGGGGTTATATCTGACTTGAAGGAGACTTGTAGGGAGTTAGGTGAAGTGATTAATGTGGCCACAACAAGGAAGATTAAGTTGGAAGCTTTGATTAGATGTATGGAACAAAATGAAGACAATACAATGAATGATGCTGATAAAGAAGAAGAAGATGAGGAAGTTTCTGTTTCAGGGGAGAAGACTGATGATAATAATTCTGTGTCTACAAATGCTGGTGATGACGAGAGTACTAGATCTGAAGAAGAAGATTAATTATGTTTGACTGATGTGCTGCTTGACTGTTATGTTCCTTGTTTTTTTTATTGTGTCTGCTGCTGCATAATTTATTTGTTTGTGCACTTAAAGTGTTGTTGGATTATACTCTAATTGGGTCTTATTTGTACCCTTGACTTTACTTGGCTCTGTTTATTTGATATATGATACTATGTTTCCCTTAGTTTGTGTTCTTAATTTATGACTAAAAAGGGGGAAAAGTGACGCTGAGGTTGTTCTGTTCTGTTTGATCCTGCTAGATGTTGATGTTGTTTATATTGAGGGGGAGTTTGTGATTACAGGTTGATGGATAATTTGTGATTACAGGTTGCTGGTTGTTTGGGCTGTTATGTGTCTTGAAGAGTTGCTGGTTATTGTGTTGAGGGGGAGTTTGTGTCTACTCCTGCTTTGAAGTTTTTTTTTGCTGTGCTTTCTGATTTTGGAGCTCTTGTGATCTGTGATTGTTTTAGCCAAAATTTGCCAAAGGGGGAGTTTGTTAATTCTTGATTGGCAGGAATTTTGATAAAACTTGGTGAGATCACAAGATGTCCTACAGGATGTCTTGACATATGTTCTTAACTGTATGCAGGTAGCTATGATTGTTGTTGCAGGATTTAGTTCGTGATATCAAGCATGATGTCTTGACATTTGTGAATAGAACATTCTGTGAGAATGTGTTTGTTTGTCTGTTACTTTTTGTGCAACTCTTTACGCTGTTATGATCTGTCATTTATGATTCAAATCTGCGGGGAAATACTCTTTATTCAAAAGAGTTTTTGATGAATTTTTCATGGAGTATTTATGGATTCGTATGAGCTATTTTCTGAAGGAAATCTTGAAGGTCTGAAGAGTGATTTGATTGGAGCTTATTGGATCAAATCAAATCTGTTTTAGTTTTACTTTTTGATGTTATTTATTTAAATTGATTTTATCAAGATCAGATTTTGTTTTTATCAAAGCCCAAGCCTGTCCAAGAGTTTCTATTTAAAGGATTCACAATCCTATTTTGTAACTTAGAGAAGTTAGGTTTAATATAGTGCATTGCGTAAGGATTAAAGCTTTTTGCATTCGTGTGTTTGTGTTAGTTTGTAAGCCATTCTCTCATTACTTTAATGTGTGAATTGGACTAAGTTTTTGTGTTATATGTTGTTCACTCAAAGCTTGTAAGTAAGAGTGTGTTGTCCTTGATTGAAGTTTTTAAGCAAGATCAAGTTTTGTCTTTGAATAGTGTCTTCTAAAAGTTTTATTAATCTGTTGTTATCATTGCTATGATTGAGGGGGAGTGAGAAGTATCTCATATCTAGGAGTGTCGTAGGTAGAAATTACAAGGGTAAAGATTAGGTGCGAAAATGGTAAACTAGAGAGAGTCTATTGTGTATCTTCAAACTAATTCTATTTAGTGAATTTTCTTCCTGGCTTGGTAGCCCTCAGTCGTAGGTGTGTTTGTACCAAGCCGGGTTAACAATTGCTTGTGTAATTTCTACTATTGTTATACCTTTTGCCTTTGTTCTTATTGGTGATTGTTCAAATATTAGTGTCGTAACATCGCCTTCAACATCTTATATCTGATACCAGAATTTCAGTAAGCTCAACCTACTAAAAGCTTATAAGTAGTAATGAATACTCTCAAGATCAAGTTATATGGAGAAGGTTGGATCACTTATTTTAGGCCAAACTTCTATAATATTTAGTGTCATCTCTTTACCTTTATTTCTATAATTCTAAGTTTTGGGGAGATGGTTTATATTCGTGATGTTCTTGTCACATGTTGTTGTTGATTTTATCTGTTGATTACATGATGTTTTCCCATGTATTATATGATCTCAATTGTTGTTTGATTACACGATACTTTACCATCAATGTTGTTTTATTACGTGGTGCTTTGCCACATATCTTTATTGTTTTATATACATGATGTTCTTGCCATGTATTTTGTGTACCTTTGTTGATTCTTCTTAACGTTTTTCCTTGATGAATCTAATTTCTCGTGATGCTTTGCCACATACATTTATTGATACCATGCTGTTTTGCCATGTGTATTCTGTCGATTTTATGTGTTGATTGTAACACCCCAATTTTTAGTAATTATATATATATATATATATATATATATATATATATATATATATATATATATTAATTGTGTGATTTTGTGCATAATTGATTTATTTTGATTATTTTATTTGGTAGAAATGATATAGGAATAACAGAAATAAGATAATTGGGCCTATTGGATGAGAATGTGAAAAGTAAAGGTGGGGGTATGATTAGTAAGCTCATTAATTACTAGAATTAGTTGTTATAAGGGTTTTGTATATAAAATAAGAGAAGGAGATATAATAGAGTTAGAAAGATAAAAAGGAGGAAAAGAGGCAATGAGAGAAGTGGAGAAGAAAACCTAAGGAGGAAACTCAAGAGTTCATCAAGAAACTAAGGTGAGAGTGGGTCTTTACATAGTAATGGGATTGTATGATAGCGTATAATGAGTAGTATCATATTTAGGATAAAAATCCCTAATTTCCATGATTTTGAAATTAATGATTACATGATGTATGCCGGTAGGATCCTTAAATATGTGTTGCGGGCTGTTATAGTTGTCGTATAATGGTAGTATTTAGAATTCTGGAACTGAAACTTTTTACGGAATCGAATTCGGAGGTCCGGAAGGCCTCTAAACTGCAAAAAACACACTTTTATAGATTGCTGTCCTGGAGAGTTTGCATAGCGAAAGTCGCGACGCGAGCAGTAGCGAACCTGATGGCTGAATGGACGTAACTTTTGATCCCTAAGTCCATTTTGGTCCCCGTTCGAAGAGTTGAAAATCTAATGAATAGAGCTATAACATAATATAGATAAGAGATTTGGTTCCCCAACATTTTTATATCTAATATGTTTGTGCATATTCCTTGTATGTTTGTTGTTTTACCTTGCGTGTCTTGGTTTTTCTTTGCCCATATTTTATCTTTTAGCAAACAATTTTAGCCAAAACACAAATATTTCAAGAGATTCCTGTAGGATACTGCAAATATTTAGGGTGCTAATATCTTCCCTTAGTATAACCAACCCCTATATCTTTGATCTCTCTTTGCTTAACTCTAGGTCCTACTTTTTGCTTTGCATGTTTACTTAGGATTTTTGTTCGAACTTTTCTCCATTTTCTTGAAAAAATAAAATTTCGGTGGTGATATCTTATTTTTGTGAGCCAAGCTAATCCCATAACTTTGGTATCTGATTCTCACCACAACAAATATCTAGTTCAAAACTCCACTTTTGGTTCGAGATAAGTTTGTAGAAAATCTTAGTTTAACTTGGGGATTAACTGCTTCTAATTCATGTTTAAAAGGAATACTAACCACTTATATTCATTATTCATTGCTTGGTTGAAAGTTAACTTGAAACTTCATTTTCCTTATAAATGGTGGTTCGTAAGTCCAACCTACTAAAAACTTATAAGCAGTAACAGATACTCTCAGGATCAAGTTTTGGAGAGAGGATTAAACCACTTCTTTTAGGCTAAACTTCTATAATTTTTGGTGTCATCTCCTTACCCTTACTTCTATAATTATAAGTAATTTGTCACCCTAAAAGAGTGTGAGTGTCTATCTCTATTTAATGATAACTTAACACAAGAAAAATCTAAAAGATGTCAGATAAAATTCTATCGTTGATCACTTATACTTTGATATAACATCAGTTAAAACACGACTTTGGCTTATCTCTTGAAAACATCACTGTGTTATCTTTAATAAATACTTTAAACCTATCTTATGTTCTGAGAACTACTCAATATATCATCATGTTTCTTTATTCAACTTAACATCAAATAGTCAACATCTTAATTCTCTTTTTGAAAAATTAAGTTGTTATCTTTATTGAGTTAATCATCTAATGACCAATTGGTATATATTAAAAAGTTTATTCTTTTGATAGTAATTTGATAATTTTTTTTAATTAATGTGTCATATTTAGATTTAAATTAAATATTGAGAGGCAACTAACATATACTAAGTTAATATTAAACCATATAATAAAATTTCTCTCATTGAAAATTTTGTTATATATCTTTAATAATAAATTAATATTAAATTATATAATAATATCAGTCAAGTGTTTTCACGATTAAATTTTACTATATTTTTTCTATTAAAAAAATAAGTACTTTGTCTGTTTTTTCCTTTTTCATTTATTTTATTATTTTCTATAGAAAAACTAAGATCTATACTTATCCTATAGCTATATTTGTTCTTCATAGCGTCACACGGATCATGATCCGTGCCATCAGTTAACTAGACACTACATCCGTCGATTAAAATTCTAATCCACGGTCCCAATACTACCTCAACAAAACATAACAAAACCGCACAATTTCAAAAAAACATTTCAAACCTCCCGCCCCACCTTTTCACAACTTCCTCTACCTTATATATACAGCTCCCCTTGCATTCATTTCCATCAAGCAAAACACTTTCGTTTATCTATTCTCTATTTCTTTAAAGCTCAAATCAATCTCAAATTCCTTCCGATCTCAATGGCTCGTACCAAGCAAACTGCCAGAAAATCCACCGGAGGAAAAGCCCCAAGGAAGCAGCTTGCCACCAAGGCCGCTCGCAAGTCCGCTCCCGCCACCGGAGGAGTGAAGAAGCCTCACCGTTTCAGGCCCGGAACCGTTGCTTTGAGGGAAATCCGCAAGTACCAGAAGAGTACCGAGCTTCTTATCAGGAAGCTTCCATTCCAGAGACTCGTTAGGGAAATTGCTCAGGACTTCAAGACTGATCTCCGCTTCCAGAGCAGTGCTGTTTCCGCTCTTCAAGAAGCCGCTGAGGCTTACTTGGTTGGTTTGTTCGAGGACACTAACCTCTGCGCCATTCATGCCAAGAGAGTTACCATTATGCCCAAGGACATTCAGCTTGCTCGTAGGATCAGAGGCGAGAGGGCTTAGGGTTATTTGTGTAATTCAGTTTGAAAAATCATGTTTAGGTTTCATCTTCAATATGTAATCGCATCTTGCTATTAGTATTAATCAAATGAAATTCCTTGTTTCATTATATTTGGCTTGTTGAGATTGTTTATTCCGTTAATTCGACTGTGTTCCAACTATATAATTTACTCAAACATTTATTTAAAATAATTAGATGATTTTTTTTTGAAATTATCGTAAAACTTAATCGTATGGGTTGGGCCCAATTATAACTAGGCTTTTCGGCCCATTTTATTGGCGGGAAAAGTATAACGCTGTTCTAGAAAGAGTTTTTTTGTTGAATTTTTTACTTGGCATTTTGGTTTTGTTAACTTGTATTGCATTGAGCGCGTAAAAATGGAGAAATATCTGGTAACAAAAAAGCCTGGTAGAGAACGGGATAAAGTTCCTCTAAGGTAAATGTTTTTTAAATTTGCATTTTATTTACCGAAATTGCAATTTTGTTTAAAGTTGTGTATGTTGCAATTGGAGGTTTCGATGGAAGAAGAGTTTAGTTGAATTGAATGGGAAATTTGAGGCGAACTTTCGTCATGAAACGATGAATTTGCTTATGTGTTCGTATTCTGAGGTTTGTCTGGGTTTCGTTTTTATGGTAGTTAGGGTTTGATTGATTGATTACATGTAACTTTGATGGTTTTATCAAATTATGTGCAGGTGGGATCTTTTCCGCATTCGTATAGCTTGGATGATGCGACACTTTGCTGCTCTAACGTATGATATGATTATATAGTGTATAGTTTGTTTAAATTGATTTTGTTTAATGTGTTATTTTGGGGCTTGTGAAACAGATTAATAGAGTGCTTGCTGAGGCAAGTGTTCAGGGCAATCCTTTCTATAGAAAACGGTAAATGTTTTGATTGTCTTATCCATTTTGATTGGCTTTTCTGTTGCTGCCAAGTCTTTCACACAGTAATAAAACAAACTGCTGGGCCAGTAGTTGATTTGTTAATTCTTAGGAAAAGAATCAAGGTAGTAGTTAGCATTGACATGAACTCCCAGGCTTCTAATGTTCCATTAGTATTGTATAATTTTACATGTTTCTTGTGAACTCTCTTTACAAACGTCTCACATTTGTTTGTTAACAGGAACGGTGTAACTTCTGTAGACTTTGACAACAAGGTAATTCAATTGGGTTAACTTGTGAGCGTGATATCTAAAGTCACCAAAATGCTTTTGCATGCGTATCTTTTTTCTCATTGTCAGGAGTACACTAATTTGATAAAGCTGATTAGTTTCACTGTTTTTTTTCCACCTTATTTTTAAATTTTTCTAGGGAATATACTTGGCGTCTGTCACAAAATCAGGTTGCTTAACGGTTCATGACTTTGAAGCTCTTTATTGCCGGACAAACAAATTAACTTGTAAGTTCGGCTTTAGTAGTTACATTTTGTTTTTTGAGTTTTGACCAAAGTATTGACTCAGTTTTTGGGGGAGTTAGTCTAGAATTAAGTGTTCCATGAGCAATGTTCCTATTTCCTGCGCACGTTCTATTGTGTATTTAAGCAGCAAGCGATGTGAACTTTAATCCATCGGTTTGGTTTGTGCTTCAAAACTGAGAATTTAATTTTCTTTCAAAACTGTGAGAAACTATTCCTGATTTGGATTTTTCCTACTTTTTTTTTACCTTGCCTACGTGAGAGTAAGAAAAAAGCACCCGGGAGCTCCCATTTTGGTTCTTATTCTTAACATTTTATTTCTTAGGTGGCTTTTTTATGTTTTATCATTGGGTGGGGGAGAAAATTTAAAATGCAGTAGTGGTGATTGCTTTATGTTTACACTTGCTTTTATGTTTATTGTGATGGCAGGCTTGCAAGAAGACCAGAGCAAACTTTTACTGCATCTCTCACCCGATCACCAACTTGATGTTGTCAAATGGAATCCTCTTGACCAGAATAAGGTTTGAAGTTAATTAAATTACCTTCTTACCTGCACTGTATTGTGAAATTGTACTATCAATTGTTATATCTAAATAGTATCAACCACATTATTATATACTTTGGTTTATCTTTCTAGTTTTGCATTGTTATTTTGTGAAGTATGCTATTTTGATATTTTTCTCATTATTTTTACGAAACCACGGCATCTACAAGTGCTTGTGCATTTTGTGCAAGACCGAGACATGAGATTTGTCAAATTCATGATTCATGAAATTATTTTGTTCTTCCAAACAAATTAATGTTTCATTTTCCCTTCAATTTAAACTTTACCCTTTTCTTTTCAGGTTCTCTGTGCCTCTATGAAACGTAATGTTCTACTCATATTTGATGTTACATATATGACGTCAGAACCAATTGATGTAAGTTTCCGTTATAATATTTTTATTGCACTTCCTGTAGAATCCAGCTTCTGTTCACATTATTATGCCATCACTTTTTTTTTTATCCAAAACATTTTGTTTCTAATTTTTGATACTTGTTGCTCCAAAACATTCAGGTTGAGATCATTTTCTTAGTGCATTATGCCATTACTATTTAGTGGTGTTCTATCTTCTAAATTTTTGTTAAAGTAACATGTTACACCTAATAAGATGCACCGGACTAAAACTATGCCATATGTTTGTCATATCCTAGGTGCTTATCCAAACAAATGAAACCTAGAAACACAGTACAAACTAAATATCCTTCAATATTATAGGATATCTGTCTTTTTACATGATTACAAATTCCTCATCTTTCTGATTTCGAGGGATAGGCTAATGCTAAGTGCAAGTGTTTTTAAATTATATGCTAGTCCCAATAAGAAAATGCTAAGAAATGTTTTCATACTAAAATGGCATGATATAGGAGTTACGTACAAGAAATACCACCACAGTTAGTGGATCCAACACATCCAAAGGTCTATCTGATGTTGCTTTTGCATCAAATGATTCAAGGTTAGTGAACCTAAATTCAGAGAAGCTGTTTCTTTTGCTTATCAGGAATGATGAGTTTCTAAAACAATGCAACTTGTTCTTATATTTAAGGTGTCTAAAGATTTAATATAAAAGCTTCTATTGATCTATACTTGTCCACTGTTTTTGTTGTGACTGATTGTCGAAAGACAGGCAAATATGCTACACAACATGATTCACCTGACAATAAGCAACTGGAAATTAAGCAGATCTTTGAATTTTGTCTAGTTTTCTAGAACATCAATCACTGTCACTAACCAACAATTCATTAACTATAGCCTGTAACACTTATGTTATATCTAGTTTTCAAAGTGTACACAAGATATGCATGTTATATCTAGTGTGGCTACTCATATAATCCTAAAGAAGAGGGAGATCCCATCCTTACAGCTGCATTATACTGACGCCAAGTAAGCATTAGCAACCACTCAAATAGGGTCTACCATAATAAAGGAACTCACGGAGATCTGCGAATCCAAAGACAAACTGCTCTGCAACCCGTAAGTTTGAAGAAAAGAGAAAGGAAATGGGGTGAGTTTGAATTGTGAATTCTAATTTGATTCAATTTAGTGAGAGCATAATAAACAAAGTGGATAGGAAGGAGAAAGTGAGAAATAAGGATTTGCCCCAGTGTTTAACTAAAATCAAATTTCAAACTTAAAGTTGTATCTTTTGGAAACTTATTCATGGTTTTGGAAGTATTCGAAAATCAGGATAACACTTTTCTACAAATCTCATAATGAATCCTTAATGAGTTACACATGCAGAACAATAGCTTTCGAAATCATAATGTAACTGTGTTGTACGTCTTATATGACAGTTAAAATGTGTTATTTTAGGTCAGCCCCTCCGTTGGTAGCATTTATGAGACATTGACAACCAGATCTGATACTATTGGTTAAGCATCCACACACACTTGGAGAACCCTCAAAAGTTAGCTGTCCTAAAGAACCGAGCTACCTACTTAAACACACCACTGTGCATTTAATATAACTCGATATGGTACTTCGTCACCATAATACTCATGTTCTATCTAGCCCATTCTTCCAAATTCATTTAGTTTATAACTTCAATAGAAAGTGCGCGGTGCTTATCACGACAGAACAACATCAAAGAAATTTCGAGATGTTATGCCCTCCTCGTCTTGAAAGACTATTCACCCGTGGGTGCAAAAACAATCTGTCCTTTTAAAAAAATTGTTTTTATTTCTACATTTATAAAAAAAATCGCAGAGGTTAGATTGATTAATATTTAGTTACATTACATGCCCACATCTTAACGGTGAGTAAAGGCTCACTCAAAGGTTTTTAAGGTGTCCTTGTGAGTTCATAGTCCTTGTGGGATCCAGGGGATCTCCTCAAAGATAGCAAATGAAAGGCCCGTGTCTCTTTCCTTTTCAAGATATTGTTGTGTATTTTCACTAGACTATTAACTTGCCGGATGGCACCAGATAGCTGAGTCTATGTAGGATTTTACTCTTGATAGTGATATTTATTCTGTGAATTCATCATTATTTCTGTCACTGTGCTGTTCTCAATCTGCTAGCAAATTTAACAGGATATTTGGTTCTGATACGCATGGTACGGTTAATGTCTGGGATAGAAGAGCAAAGAGTCTACCCTGTCTTGAACTCACATCTGCTTCATTTGGCACCCTTAACAGCATCCAATTAGATGCAGAAAATCAGGTCAGGAATTATTTATGTAGGCTATCAAGTTATCTTTCAATTCTCTTAGAACACTAATGAATTTGCTCATTTTTTCTTGGATTGAGTCGATGAAAGCTTTCCTAGTTTCTTGTTTTGACTTTTGTATTTGAGGGGTTCTTCACATGGTTAACCAAAGACACAATGACTAATCAGGGAACTGGTGTTGACTTGGCAGTATATAATATGGGTCATGCTAACTTGTGCCCTAAAGGCACATGCTAAGCAATCCAAACGTAGAAATTTTATATTGAAAAAACATTTTTTAAACTTTGAAGTAATTGAAGGCACATCTTTTAAGATAACATTTCTATAGCACAAGTTAGCATTTCCCCTCTAATTTTCTATGAACCCAAGGCAGATATT